ACGCTGCTCTAAACGAAGAAAAGTGCAATCATACACAAATTCTCTTCGAAATACATGCTTGAACCACAAGGAGGAGGCATTTGAAGAACTCTAACGTGCTACGAGCAACTGCACTGACATCAGCCGGTACGATCTGGAGTAAACAGGCCCCATACAACACATCATCTATGTAACTGAGATAATGAAGCATTTGATACAAGTCGCCATCTTGACTTCGATCGCGTCGGGTCGATCGGGTCAATCGCGAAAGACACTGGGACGAGGATAGGACGCACATCGCAGCTGGCACAGTCCAATCAAGAAACCAGAGCTGCAATCATGCTTTCTCAGTGAAAAAGACACCACTGAAAGTTGAAGTTTAGTCTTCTAAGGGTACAACAGGACGGTAAGTTCCATTTTTATCATTCGAGGATACTATCCATGCTGGTATGACTTAAGTTTCGTTTCATATTGACGTCTACTTAAAATAATCTTGCACGTGGTTCCAAACAGCGAAGCCGCGCTGAAACACAAAATGAAGACAAAGTTATAGCACATTTGTGAACTAACAAGTATAGTATAGTTTCTCGTTTAGTGGTGGTATCAAACCATATTTGTGTTGGTCTAAACCCGCAGAAAGCACCGGATGTTCCACTTATAAACAAGGGCTACAAGGACCGGCTCGTGTAGTTAGCGAGGCAAATCTAGCGGAAGGGTACACGGCTACCCTTCTCACTGATGCGATTTACCCTGCTTGATGAAAACATGCTACATTTCAATTGTCAAGAACCTTTTATTTCTAAAATTCATTCCTAAATTCCTCTAATCCATGCAAATCTAGAATTTATTACTAAATTTTTCTAATCCATGTTACACTGGGTGTTCTTGTATCTTCGCAGGTCGGGGTTGTGTTCGTAATTCACCAATTAAACAGGATCCAAGCGTCAGGTAACAGCTTCTAAAATCATTCTTAAGGAGTGAAAGGAATATTTGAATGTACATATAACACAGTTTGTAGGGTCTTCAGGTAACAGTACTTATTATTACACACCGCCTTCTTGTCTTGAAACATCGGATAAACACTCTTCGCTTTCTACAAGCGAAAGAAAAATCGAATACATCTCGTATTGAACAAAACTTCGTTTGGAGATCGTACTTTTGATACAAATTTGTAGCACACACTGCTAGAAAGTGAGATGACAATCATCACTTCTTGAATTGTTTCATTTGTTTAAAGAGCATTGAACCTTTATTTTCTAGTACGAAATGGCCACTACATGGCAAAATATCCTCGAGACTCTTGTTGCAAATGGTGGACTCGTCGCAAACTTGGAAAACGTAAAGGTAAGAAGTCCTATAAAATTCCAGTGATTGATAAAGGTTGTTCTCACACGTACACCACGGTAAACACATAGCTCTTAAAGTACTATAAAATTATTGTCTACATGTTTTTATTCGATTGGCTTCTAGAGAGAGTTTGAATCAGTATTTGAGCTTCGAAGTTCGACTGGCTATCAGAATGGTAAAGTAACTGCTTGAGTAAAACGTGGATATTCAGGGTTTTAGGTGTAATATGTGCCCGAAAACGTCAACACGTGGAAAGTAATCAGACTCGAAGGAAAAGTGGTTGCCCCACATCGATTCCAATCACCTAAACAACGAACCCCTCCAAGATTGGAAATAAAATTTTCTAGACATCTGCTCTGAGACCGGGAACTTTCCAGTCAAAAAGCCCCTTACTTTCATACACAATTAAAAAGGTCTCAATTAAACGAGTTTTCCCGAGCTGGAAAAGAGCTGCATGTGTTGTTTCTTGGCTTCAAGTGCTGATTAAAATAACAGGACCCCTAAAATAGCAACGTGGCCGTATTTTAATCAAGAAAACAAACTCAAAACAGAGTCCGAGTAAACTATGTTAAAATACCGTAATAAAGAACAAAAAAATCCCGAAAGAAAGTAGCGAAAAGGCGAGAAAGGCTAATTTACAAAGTGCCGAGTTAATGTTCCTCTTCACTGGACAGATTTACACATTCTGCTACTACCAAGCTGGTTTCCTTACAAATTAGTACTCTAAATAGCTTACTTCTCGGCCCATAGCGATAACGAAAAGTCGTATCTATATGGTTTTCTTTCGCCTTGATATTGACAGTTCCTCTCATAGATAACACTATTGCCTTGCTAGGACTATAATCCCTTTGGATTAACAGAAAAAGGAAAAATAGCTGCACAGTGCACGGAGGAGAACGATGTCCACGCAGGGTAAGTTACAAAAATAATCTAACCTCAAATGTTTGACACCCCAGAACGGTTTTCCTCCAGCATTTAAAACACTACTGCATCAGATCCATTTTCTCCTCGTGTCGTCTATTCTTCTCAGCAAGCTGGCTATTATTCAGATTGACAACTAACGCTGGAAAGGAGACAAGGAAAGAAATTAAGCCAAAAAAGGATCGTGCGCTTTTCGCCTTGTCTAAGTCTTCAAGCGTTTAGATGAACTACCCGAGGTCTAACAAAATATTCT